TGTTTGACACTAGCGTTTTTAAACACTAGTTTGGTCTCCAGAAACAATTCAGTTTTTCATTTCCTTTCGATTATCTGAAAGGCATGATGCTTGCAGTACGGGTAACTTCTATTTCTGAATTTGTTTTCTTTTCCATGTCTGTAGATCAGAGAAGCCCAACTGGGATTACCATGCAGAGATACAAGCTTTTACCCACAGGCTGCATGAAAATTTTTCTTTGGATCTTCTCAAGACTGCATTTGTTAATTCTTGTTATATTGAAAGTGAAGAGGCAAGACGCCGAGAACTTGGCTTAGACAAAGAAATGGTTGCTCTTAATCTACAAGATAATAGTAAACTTGCTGAACAAGGGATGTCTTTTTCACGTTCTTACTTGACGCAGTGCTTTGAAGGTGCCTACCCGGATTTACCTGCAAAAGGGATACGAGCACTTGTTGATTTTCTTACCAGTCAGGAACTTGTTTCTTATGTGGCTCAAAACCTGTCTATACAGGACCTGACGCTTTGCAAAGAGTTTCCCGTCCCACCAAATGTGCTACAGAGGACGTTCTTTGCTGTAATAGGAGCCTTGCTCAATAGCAGTGGGCCTGAGAAAACGAGGATCTTTGTCAGGGTAAGTCATTACTTAAGATATAATTTTGTACTGACAACATCTAAAGGTCTCAGAAGTTACAGGGGGAAAAAAAGGCAAAAAAATTAAATACTGTCATGTACCTTGATGGCCAGAGATCCAGGGAGATTGGCAGAAGTTTGACAATACCTGCACCAAGACAATTTAACAGTAGAATCTGTTGGCCGGTGGTGGTGGTTGGGTGGGGTTTTTGGGTTGTGGTTTTTTTGGTTTTCTTTTTTCTTTTCTTTAAGAAGCACAGCCTGGTCAAGTACATAAAATCATGTATTTCTGGTTTGTAATGGTGATATTTTAGTATTTGCTGATACTTGCTAAGGGAAAGCATTATATTCTATGCACTCTGCTATCAAATAATGAAATTATTCTGTGTAAGGTCACATGTATCTTCAGTTTTAAAAAAAAATTTTATATAAAGCAGGGGCTGAGTTCATAGGTTTTGCCTGTAGGTTGCAAAGCACGTAAAGATATTTCATACAAAAATGTTAAATTAAAATGCAGCATAACAAAGTAGTTCTAGCAGCTACTGTCCCTTCAGTCGTCCTTTTCTCTTATTTGTAGTTTTACCATGGAGAAATGTGTGTTAAAATCTTGTTTCTGATACGAGACTGTTGAGAGGTCTCTGTAAGAGCAAATAGCTGTTTACAGGCAAGACAGTGATCTGAACAGGTGAAAGTCCTGCGGGTTTGCATGTTCCCTTCAACCTGTTTGCAGAACTCTTCTGATGTACAACTTCAAGAAATCACAGAATTATCAAATGGTTTGGTTGGAAGCAGCACTGAGTTGCTTACCTCGTGCTCAGAGCTGCGCATAAGCGTTGGTATAACCCCTCTCTTGGGCTGGTGCTCTTCCTTCTTTAGGTCTGGACAGTTGACTTTGCCTGAGGAGCACACCCTGTCAGTGGCTAAATTGGAACCAGAGCTGCTCAGCGTAGCGACACTGGTTAGCTGTGCTTAGCTGTGATGGAGCACTGCGGCAGTTCCATCAGTCATTTCGGCAATTTATTGTCAACTGTGTTAATGTCTTTTCATATTGTATTTTATTAGGAGACACTGGAAGCTAGAGCCTTCGTTACCTTTCTCGTTAACTGTAACTTCTAAATATTCTTGTTTAGGATTTCTTTATTCCTCAACTGATTGGAAAAGACCTGTTTGAGATCTGGGAAGTTGTAAATCCTATGGGTTTACTAGTGGAAGAACTGACCAAGAGGAATATCTCTTCTCCAGAACCAAGAATTACCAGGCAGTTGGGAGTCAGCACGGTTCTGCCAGTGTACTTTGTTGGGTTGTACTGGTTAGTACAGTATTAATGTAAAGTGAAATGGATTTAAGCTGGGGGAGAGGGGAGGAAGGAAAATAGTCTTTTCCTTTTCTTCTTGTGCTCTTTGGTCAAGTTGTTATGGAAAAGAAACTTACCATGACTTCCATATAAAATCAGCCATTTAAGCGTTGGCCATAGCTTGCTCTAATGATGCATAAAAAAAGCAGTCTGTGACTAAAGGGCCTCCAGGTCTGAATCGGGCACACAAAAGAGTCTGGGTGTACGTTCTGGGTGAGCTGACATAGGAACTTTGCTAATAGTGTAACTGAATGACTTTGGAGGGACCACAACTGTATCCAGAGCTTAGGGAAGGGTAAAGAGACATAGACATCAAGGGAGGTGGGAGGTGGGATTGAAGAGAGATTTATTTTATATTCCAGAGAAGCTTTTTTGTTTTCAAATCATGGATACTGTTAGCTAGGCAAGAGGAGTGCCTGTATCCAGACAAGACTTAGGAAGTGCCAGCCATCCCTGGTGCGCTTGTCTCAGGTGTGGTCAGTCCTTGTCCTGGTCTCTTGCCCAGGGGTAACATTGCTCCTCTGGAGCAGGACAGGACCTTCTTCCACCAAAACCCACATCACTGATGCTTTGCTAAATGAGCTGCAGGTAAACGCATGGGAAGATTGCTTTAACTTGTTCTGATTTGTCGTGCTTTGGTTTATATGCCTTCTAAGATTTATTATCTTATATAGAACTTCTGTGGGAATCCTTTTGAAGAAGTTTTAAAATGCTTTCTTACCAGGGGAGGAGAAAAGACAGAAGCGTTTAACTTCTTTGTTTAAGCTAACCAGAGTAACAAATTTGCATATGTTTAAAGGGCTAACAAATTGAACACTGTAAAGAATCAGTGATATGTTAGGAATCTAAGTGAACAGAGAAGTGTTATTCCAGGAAATGGTCGCATTTCTGATTTGAGTTTCCATTGTTGAATATACAATCACTTATCTTTGCAGGAAAGACTAACAGAAATGGTTACATTTGTGTGTATATAGAAATTACCTTCAGTATTCACAGATGCTGGAGGGAATAAAAAAATGTAGCAGCCCTTATTCATGATATAGGGCTCAGGATTTCATGATGAAAATGTTTTTAATTTTTTTTTTTTCTTTTCCCCAAGCGATAAGAAGATTATAGCTGAAGGTCCTGGTGAAACACTGCTTGCTGCAGAGGAAGAAGCTGCACGCGTGGCACTCCGGAAGCTATATGGGTATACAGAGAACAGGAGACCTTGGGATTACTCAAAACCCAAACAAGGATTGGCAGCTGATAAGGCTATCAGCAGTAACTAGATGATAAAAGACATTTCTAGTTTATCTTAAAAATTATCTTAAGAACTAATGGCTTGCATGCTGAATATAGGTGTATTTAGGAAAGCAAAATTCAGTTTGGTTTTCTGATCTTCAGTGCTTGAAACTTTCAAATCAAATATGGTATTAAAATAAATAAAGTATTTTCTTTTTGCACAATGTTTAATATTTGCTCATTTTCCTAATTATAGCAAAAGCACTCTTATTCTGAATTTTTGCCTTTTGACTGAATTGTTTTTCCATACATCACAGGAGACCGTTTTTAATGATGTTTAATGATGTGTGACAAAACCTCGCTGTGTAGAAAAAGGTTTCATGAGTGTTTCCTTGGAGATTGTTTTGAGGGTATCGTTAAGAAGACTAGCGATAGGACGAGAGGAAACAGTCTCAAGTTGCGCCAGGGGAGGTTCAGGCTCGACATTAGAAAGAACTTCTTCACTGTTAGAGTTGTTAAGCATTGGAACGGGCTCCCCAGGGAGGTGGTGGAGTCATCGTCCCTGGAGGTGTTCAAAAAACGTTTAGATGTGGTGCTTCAAGACATGGTTTAGTGGGCATGCTGGCATCAGGTATACGGTTACACTTGATGATCTTGGAGGTCTCTTCCAACCATAATGACTCTATGATTCTATGAGTTGAATTACATATGCAACATCAGTCTGTGGATTGCATCTGGATTCATTTGTCTTTGACCTTGTGAAAACATCAAATATCATGTTGATGATGCTGACACTGTTGGCGATCCAATTTAAAACAAACAAACAAAAGTGCAAATGGCACTTTTGAGGTCTTACTGCTTGCATACAAATTTTGTTTGCCATACACGTTGGTTTCTGTTGTTGGAGCATGCTCTGAAAGAGGATATATTTTTAATTTTGAAACTTCTAAAAAACTCTATTGCAAAACTAGAAATAAGTGAAAATAAGGATCATGAAGGCCTGAACTCAAAGAAATTAAAGAACATAATTTAATGATAGGCTATTAGATAACCCACAGCCTTCTCTTTGTTTTTTTCCCTTTTTGGTACTTTTCCTGTTTAGTCCAGGTACTTCTTTTTTCTCCTGTCTTTTGGCCGCTGAATTTAAGCAGTCACCTGAGTGAAGTATTGGATTCAGTGAAATGGGGTTTTTTGTTTCACCATCTGTAGCTGTTCTGATGTAACTCCAAGTAAATGGAAAGTCACTTAGGAATAACTTGGGTACCTGCAATGATGTTCCTATTAAATGTCATAGACACTCAGTATGTGCACCAGAAGACAGCAGATGCACGAGGGCTGTAGCTGGTTTGGAATAATTTCCTTTAAAATTGAGTGAGAGTCTATTACTTGCTGGGACTGAGCCTCAAAGGAAGAAAGGAAGAAGCTGAATATTGGACAGTGGCTGAAGAAGTGTTTGCTGCCTTATCCCATTGTGAGCACTGGTTGTGAAAAAAGACAGCAGGTAAATGTGCTTTCACTAATCAGGGAGAAAAAAAATAAATACTCGGGTGGCCATTCAGACAGGGTTGATGTTACTGTACGTAACAATGTACATCCTTCTGTCCCCAGGGTGGATTTATGTGGAGGACACTTGGCAGCAAAAGGTCCCGGGCTGCAGTGGTGGCCACTCAGCGGCTCTGTGGTACGGCACAGGTGGTGTCTTCCCTGCTGCCCCTGGCGTGGGAATGAATTCTGACTCAGGTCTACTCGGTGCGAACAGATTGGTTAGCGTGTTCGAGCAAAAGAACTGATTGTCTGTGATTCATGTTGCAGACACATGTCTGTGTCTTTGGTATTTGGTGTGACCTGCATCTTAAGCATGTATAAAACGCTTATGTGACTGGATAGCAGCGAAACCTTTCTTCTGCATTCTGGCGTGGGAGATTACATGTGTGAAAGCTTGAATATAAAAAAGAGATCAGAAAGATCAGTCTAGCATAAAATACGCATAAAATTGCTTGTGTTAAGTGAAAAATTCCAGCTAGGTAATCTATTATCCCTTATATAAGCAAAGCCAATAAGGTCACTATGTTCCAGAGGAATAATAGCAAAATCTGAAAAGAGGATAAAAATTACTCAGGATATTTTTAGCTTCCAGATGAGGTATTTCTCTACCTATTTCAAAAGGACAATAGTGGAAGGTAGGGGTTTTTACATCTAAAGTTTGATCTACCTACTGTTTTTTGTATACATACTTATGTATTTTGAGAGAGAGCAAAAAGCAATTTTCTGGCAGTTTACCTTAAAAGAGTGTTTCAGATCTGCTTACTGTGGCTTTACAGTTTGGAATATGGACATAAGTCCTAGGAGAAGTGGATTACTGAATAACGCGCTGGAAAAAACCTGAGTAATGCAAGATAAATCAATTTATTGTGTAGTACATGTGTGGAATGTCTTGAACTCAAATGGAAAGACAGTTTGGGGACATGGAAAGAAAGGACTGGTATTTTATAGAGGTGTGGGTGAAAAAGGAGTTTTTAAAAGAAAATGTCATATTTTTCAAGCTTCTTTTGTTTCCTTTTTTTTTTATCTGAATCAGTAGCCGTAAACAATATCTAAGTGACATTAAAAGATTAGTTAGATTAACAGAAATTAGTATCTACAAAGTCTGGTGAAAATGGCAGCTTTTCTTTACTAGGAACATTGTTCATTGTTATCTGAAAAGTACTTTGTAAGCTACTTGCGTTGGTTCTGACCCAGGTGCTGCATACGAGTGCATTTACGTCTTCCAGTGGTTGTTCCTTTCTTAAATCACATTTTATTTGTCTCTCAGAGAAGACAATAGATCAAGGCGCATGTCAATAATTGACAGAAAGGAATCGGGACAGTTTATTCTTGAACGCATTGAACAAGTCGTTGATTATTATTGTTATATTTGTAAACTTAACAGTAGAAGAGGATATGTTCTTTAGCATTTATGGAATTTTGGCATAAGTTAACATCATCTCAAGAGTCAACTTTGGTTACGCTTTTCTGTATGCTACCTTTTAACCACAACGCTCTGTTTCTGTCATCTAGATCCTTTGTCTACTTCTTGAAAGTGTTTTAAAAGTGATTTATTTTAAGAAAGGTCAGAAAAGTTCTACTGTATTGGTCCCAGCTAAGTAATTGGAGAAAAACTTCTTAATATGCTTTCATGCACTTTTATTATGTTACTCTGTTCTCAGTATGTGCTTTTGCTCCTGTCTCGAGCTGTTCAGTAATGTGACTGCACACTCTGAATTGTCTCCTTGTTTTCAACTGCGGCTTCTACTGGTTACAATAACTAGATATTTTGCTGTAATTTTCTCTTAAAATAAAAAAGTCCAGGAATAATTATTGTGTTAACTGTTGCTGTGACTTAAAGCCAGGAGATTAAAATACAAACACTGTACAGTTATGTCCATGTTAATTCAGAGTTTGAAATTGCTGGTGAAAAGTTAAATCTTTTATTGAAATTTCTTACATCAAACTTTTTTGGTTTTTATGATAAATCAAAAATTTAAATAAGCTGCTCTGGTGTTATGTTGCTATAAAAAGCCAGGCAGCATTCAAAACATCAAAAGATGTGTTGTCATTCTTTTTTGCAGGGCAGGGAGAGAGGGATGATGCAGTCCAGAAACATTAGAAAAGCCCTACTTTTGCTTGTCCTTTACTGTACTGAGTGCTGTGGTAAACTTTAAACAGGCTCTAAACTTTTTGGTTTCTCTTACATCTGAGCTTTGAAGTTTAATACTAAAGGGATGCATTCAGTGTAGAGAAGCAAACATCTAAGGACAGATTGGTTTTATCTTTTCAAATTGATTCCACTGATGTAATGGCACCAGTTTTGCGTGTTTACCATTTCAGTTTGTCGAAGAAATTGTTGATAAATTAGGAAGATAAAATGGTCACCAGCTGGTCAGTAAATAGCCACTGTCGTAGTGTCAGTTGCATAGTGGAAACACAGTTGATCTGTGTGACAGAATCAGAGCATTGAAGGCTCTCGGTGACTCTAAATCACAGGGCATACTGCAATGCAGCTCTTCGTGGTGCATTTAAAAACTGGGGCTTGTCTTCTTTGGGAAAAGGGTAGCTCTAGGGAGAAGTTAAATGTTACCATCTCTTTCTATTTTTATGTAGTAAGTGTAATGTTTCTGCCACTCTGTGGCAGCTATGCTTGTGACTACATTCTTGAGCTTCCAGTTTTATGTTCAAATATGTTATCTGAATTACTACAGTGCAGGTATTGTACAACTATCAGGGACCTCCTGGATCATCAAGACAATCTGTCACCATCATAGCTATATCATACAGTCCTGTTCCTAAACAGATTGAGCTCCATTTCAGAAGCATTAGCTCTTTTGCTCCTACTGCTCCAGCTGGGGGCAATTACAGAACCTCACTGTTCTGATATGGAAATTAAAAATTACGCCTTACCTCTGTAAGTGTTCATTGTCAGTTGTGCTCACTTGTTCTTACACCAGTGTTCTTTATCAGAAGAAATATTGATTTTTATTGACATTGGGAGAATTTGCAGTTCCAATGAGATGAAAATTTCATTGAGTTTCAAACATGCTTAAGAGTTCCCCTTTATAGGGAGAACTCAATAGCTCTGCAGTCCTATGTTTTCCCATAATTAGACTGGGATGCTTATATAAATCAGAGGAATATTTGTTTTTATAACTTGAGTAACATATTTTGGTTTAAAGTACTTAATTTTGGTACTTTATATAGGCAAATAAATCACCCAAATTAATCACATCACTAGGTAGGTGTGTCTATTAAAAACTTATATTCTCGATAGTCATTCAAACAACTTGGCCAATTTTTATGTAGCATTCCTAACTCTTAAAAACATGCATACTTGCAAAAAAAAGTTCTGAAAGTATGTTTCGATATCCAGCTTGAAAGAAACTTTTAAACACTATTTAATGCAAGTTGTTTCAGTAGAGAGAGAAAATAGTTAGCTATAGTCCTTCGCTTCTGGCAACAGATTCTGTAGTTCCATGATTCACACATACTTAGATAGACACTGAACCAAATCTTT